GAGGACCTATGGTTCAGTACACCACTGTGAACATCGCCTCGGAGGCCCCCAGGGACCATGTCATCTGGTCAATCTTCAACTTTTTCCACTTGAATCCCTTCTGCCTCGGACTGGCGGCTCTCATCTTCTCTATCAAGGTGACTTTCATTCATGGGGAATCTTCTACTATTGCCTGTCAAAGAATATTGAAAAAAAAAAATAGTTTTTCAATTTCAAGCAGCACTTTTTTTAAACAAAGGAGAGATGGGTTTGTGGAAAATAAACGTTTCACCATATTTTTGCAGACAAAACACAGCCCTCACTTAGACCATGACAAGAATCATGCAGAGCACGGGCAGTTAGGAGACAATGTTCATCTCTAAGATTATAGAAATCACTAGGCTTGAAGACGAAAGTTTAAATGTTGAAACAAAAAATTACAAATAAGGAAAAATAAAAACATGGAAAAATGAGATGAAGGAACAAAGACAACTTTAAATTTGTTCCAAACTTTGCTGGACATTCTTAAATACGAAGAATCAGAACACTTATGTAAGGAAAACTATATATAGGAAATGGGAGAAAGCAATCTCATTTCCAAAGTAGAAGTACAGCAAACCTCATCAGACTGAGCTTAGGGTCAGTGTTGGCAGTTTACGGCCCCTTGAGGTCGATGAATCCACTTCTAAAATCCATGTGCTTTGGTCCTTCCAGGCCAGAGACCGGAAGATGGCTGGAGACATGTCTGGTGCCCGACACTACGGCTCCACTGCCCGCTGCCTCAACATCTGGGCCACAGTCCTGGTTTGCCTCATCGTCCTTATTTGCATCATTGCTGGCATCGCCATAGCCGTAGAAGCGAATCGCAGTTACAGTTATTACGCGAGAAATAATTACTACTACCATGGCTAAATTTCAAATGGTGTTCAGAGTTGCCTGCTGCTGTGGTGACTCTTAGTGACTGTTGTGGTTCTGTGCTTTACACTTAACGGTGCAATTTGTAACCTGTTGTACCTTTTTTACTTATATCCTCAAGCAAAACAGATACTTTTTTCCATTTGTGTTACAAAAGCCTTAAACTCAACCATGTTTGTAGTAGTATCTGTAGTTCACATCTATGCCGGACTGTTATTAGATTGTGACTTCCTGTCTGTAAGGCATTTGTTTTAGCAATGGTTCTGAAAAAAGATAACTTTTTAATCTGTTAATAAAGACGTCTGTTTAATAACTTTGAAATGTGCTTGTGAGATTTTTAAGGTAAATAAACAGATTGTGGACATACTGGCATGATTTTCGTAATTTCCACAAATGATGGTGTTTTGACATTTTCACTGGTGCTGATTTCAAGCCAAAGAACTCCACCCAAAAAGGAAACAGGGGGGGGGGGGGGGGGGGGGGGGGGGT